CAACCAAAAACATTATCAGTTTGGCACCCAATTTGCAATTCAACATGGCACTTTTTGCAAAATACGCACACATTCTAAACAAAGGAATCTTACATAAAGTCACTCTTTTGCCAGTTCAAGATTATTGGTAAATCTATAGAAATAGGCTAAGTGATAACATTTACCACAATATATTGCTATGATATCTGCCTCTTAAATGTTGTGAATTGGAAGAATGAAATGGAATACAATTATTAGGTCCATCAGTTATTATATTATTATACATTGACAGTTGCTGATGGGGAGGAGTCCAGGAGGAAAGAGACTGTTTATGACCAGGTGCTTTACATCTGGCTGTTTCTGTGATACCTTCAAGGACAAACGGAACATGGTAACAGAGAGAAGCATACTTTTTATCAGACTCAGGCAGGGAACAATAACTTTTTTTATGAGGGACTGTATTACTACGTTTTCTTCCACTATATTAAGAATATAATTATGACATGTCATACTATCAAGAATGTTTTTATGAGACTATAGTTTACTTTTTCATGACCTACTACTATATTATCATTTTTAGGACATGTTTACTATAACTTATGACAAAGTGTGTTAACAATTATTTGTTATGAAATATTATATCATCATCATTATTTTGACATTAAATGATCAATTACTTTTGATGAAATACTATTTAATGCAATGATGAAACAAATAATGTTGTGTGTTGTAATAAATATGTCTATGTTAATTATTTGAAATAAAAGTTAATCAATCAATATTTATATAGCCCAATATCACAAATGTAACATTTGTCTCAGTGGACTTTAGAGTTTGTACATAATATGAATACGAATATGAGGTCCTAACGAAGGTCTAACCATGGCTAACCCTTCGGCAATATTCCATCCAAATATTTGCTTCCTGTTGTTCATATTGGAATGTTATAATAGGCACTCAATCTTTTCATTCAGAAAATTATTTCAGCTGTCCATATCAGGATATGTTAAGACAAAGCCATGCAATTATAATAATACTTAGAAAAAAGAGGTCAGGACCTATCCTGGAAAGTGAAACACAGATACGGCAGATTTGAAAAAGTGAAAAAAAATGACACGGTCCAAATTTAGCCTAAAGAGTGATCAAAAACGTCACTTTTTTCCACCTTATCAACACTGCCATTATTTTATGTAATAAAGGAATTATAGTATACTGTATGATGACTTTTTAAAGCGTAAAAAAACAGCTCACAGGTTATGGCAAATATGAGAAGGCCCACAACAGAAGTACATTTAAGGTATTTATTGTAAAAAAAATGTAAAGTATGTAGTAAGAACAAAGAAGGCCAAAATGTGCAGCCGCTGGCAGGGATGATCCAGGAGACAGCAGAGAGCAGGTGAACTCTGCAGTGTTTTCCTCTGAGACTCCAGACCAGGTGCTCTGAATCTGGCAGCTCCTATGACGCCTTCGAAGACAAATGGAGAATAGTGACAAAAGCAGTCCTGATATCAGAGGTGTCATAATGGCCTGAATTGACATTATATGACATAATATAATATTAATTTTAAATGACATACTGTAATAACTTTATTTATAGGATACTATACTAGCACTTTTTATGACATACTTTATAATAAGTTATTTAATCGGCATTCTATGCTATGACTTTTTAGTGACATAGTTTATGTGTTATGACATACTATATTATGACAGTTCTATGGCATACTGTTATAAATCATGTTAATCATGTTTTTAGATAGCATGCATTGAATTTTTACAAGATATATTATGTATTTTTCGTGACATACTGATATTTATATATGAAATACCATAGTACCAGTTATTTTATTTGACATACTTTACTAAGATCTTTTAAATATATATTATTTGATATGTTTTTAACTATATTAACAATGTTTTAACAAGATGTTCTGTACTGTGAAATGTTATGACATTCTATATATATATATATTTTTTTAAATTACTATATTTATTGTATAGCCTTTTTTTGACTTACTATACTATACTTTTCTTTATCAATAACTTCACTATGTTTTTTTATGACTATATTCTCTGTTGTGCGCTCCTGACCTCTAGTGGCTGAAGTTGCATACATCTTCTTATACATGTTTTAACTCAGTTTAATATACTGATATTGTCAGGTGAAAAATCCACATGGTGGAATGTTGGGAAATTTGCAAAGAGGAAAAAGGCTTCAAGGAGTTCTATGCCTCCTAAAGCCCTTTACTCTGTCATGAAGACATTATATTAAATAGAGTTAATAGTTATTCTAGATTAATTTTTTCAAGACAGACTATAATTATCAATGATTTGAAGACATACTGTGGTATTGTTATGATACTTAATAATACATTTAGATTAATTAAGACTTTTTTTAAATGACTATATTATGTTTTTTAATGACAATCTATGCTATGATTGTTTTATGACATAATAAAAACATCACTGGATTTAAAAGTATAATTTCCATGTGTGTGTGTGTGTGTGTGTGTGTGTGTGTGTGTGTGTGTGTGTGTGTGTGTGTGTGTGTGTGTGTGTGTGTGTGTGTGTGTGTGTGATCCTGTCTCAGCAGTGCAGCACTCTCTCCTGCAGGACGCTAACATCTCCCAGTTGAAGGGAGGGTCAGACATCCAGGCCACGATCATCTCCAGCACTGCAACAGTTACAACTTATCAACACTAAACAATACAATACTTAAAAAGTATCCATAAACCTATAACCAATTAAAACGTATCAACATACATGAAATACTTATCTAAAATCTTTACAGAGTCTTATCTTAACTACATTCTATCATAAGTGCTTGAAACAAATCTAAAAACTAAAAAGTAATAACATATGTTTGTGTGTGTATGAGTGTGAGTGTGTGTGTGTCTGTGTGTTGAAGGGAGGGTCAGACATCCAGGCCATGATCCTCACCAACACTGCAGGAACTGCAACAGTTCAAACGTAAAGGAATAAAACATGTTACAACTTATCAACACACTAAACAATGCAATACTTAAAACGTACCCACAAACAAATGAACAATTCAAAATGTAAAACTTATCAACATACTGAAACATGAAATACTTATCTAAAAACGTAAAGAGTCTTAACTTAACTACATTATATACAAGTGCTTAAAAGTTATCTACTAACTAAAGAGTAATACAAGGTGTGTGTGTGTGTGTGTGTGTGTGTGTGTGTGTGTGTGTGTGTGTGTGTGTGTGTGTGTGTGTGTGTGTGTGTGTGTGTGTGTGTGTGTGTGTGTGTGTGTGTGTGTGTGTGTGTGTGTGTGTGTGTGTTACTGTCTCAGCAGGGGGGCACCAGGCCCTGTCTCCTGGAGGACGCTCACAGCTCCCGGCTGTATATAGTGTGAGACATCCAGGCCATGATCCTCTCCGACACTGCTTCAAAGTCAGTGGGGGAGAGGCCAGAGGGCTCGGACAGGAGGGCCAGGGTCGTGGCCCCATCAGGCTCCGGGAGGGGTCCTGGCTGGGTCTGCTGAACCTTTAGGACACAGAGAGAGAGAGAGAGAGAGAGAGAGAGAGAGAGAGAGAGAGAGACGAGAGAGAGAGAGAGAGAGAGAGAGAGAGAGAGAGAGAGAGAGAGAGAGAGAGAGAGAGAGAGAGAGAGAGAGAGAGAGAGAGGTCAGACAGATGTAAACCAGAGCTAAATCCCAGATCAAAGCACGCTAAAGGGTCTTTGAGCATGTTTTCTCTCAGTGATTGTGCTGTTATGTTAAATGTCTGTTGTTTGTTTTTCATGTATTGTGTCTTGATATGTGTCTATGTTGATGTTACACATGGAGCTGCTGTGATGCAAGTACAATTTTAAAGTATTATTGTATCGTATCGTAGTGGTTTGGGATACATGTGTACGGTGACCATGGATCCACAGCAGAGTCTTTTTAACAGAAACACCAAACTGGTGTAAACATCTGGAGGACTCACCTTCAGCCGGACGTCCTCCAGCATGGCCTGTGGGGGGGTGGGGGTGGAGGGCAGTGGGCTGGGGCTTCCCTCACGGAGTCGTCTCTGCGGGGGCTCCTCAGGGTCTCTGCTTCCCCTCCTCTGCCTCTTCCTCCTCCTGCCAGCCTGTTAGAGAGGGACAGAGGGGGGAGTTAAGGGGAGGGTCAGAGTTTCACTTATAGTCCTCTCAGACTAAATATCACTGCTTTCCCTCTGAAGGAAGAAACACTCTATTGCATGCATTCAGAGCTAGGAAAAGTACTTAGTTCTTGTACTTGAGGAAAAGTAGAAAGTAGAGTGTAGGAATACTCTTTTACAAGTGAAAGTCATGCAATCAGAATGTTACTCAAATAAAAGTACAAAAGTATTGGCATCAAAATGTACTTAAGGTACCAAAAGTACTCATTATGCAGATTGGCCCATTTCAGAATAATATCTATGATATGTTTTATAATGATTGATCATTAAAGAGTTTTCAAAGCTGGTAAAGGTGCAGCTAGTTGTAATGACTGTATGGTAGCTTGTGAATGTTACTCCAGGTGTAACTAAAGACTTATTCAAGTCTTGATTATATTTCACATCATTATTCCTGCAAAACAACTAAAGGTATAAAATAAATTATGTGGAGTAACAGTACACGATTTACAATTTACCTTGTAGTAAAGTAGAAGTACTTCCAAATTGTTTTTAAGTAAAGTACTTGAGTAAATCTACTTAGTTGCTTTACACCACTGCATGCATTGTTAATGTGATTATTAGACACAATGTTTAAAAGAAAAAACCCTTTGATTAACTAAAACATGGAATATTTGGGGATTTGAATAAGATGATTGTGGCTTTTGTTTAAGGCCAACACTGACTCAAGTGATCACTAGATGAGATCAGCGTTATCTGCAGGTCTTTGCAGTAATAACTGGAATCAGACTCGCAACACTTCCACTCCACACTTCTCTTCACACAACCACTCCCACTCGTCTCTCAGCTCGCACGACACATCACATTTACTGATTACTTAGCACGTACCGAGGCGGAACCAAAACGCACCATCGACAAAACACTACGTCTTCATCCAGGCGGCGCATGAAGAAGACCTGCAGGAGCAGGAACATCAGTGGGTCAGCTTCCTGCAGAACAAACAGCCAGAGACACTGAACACAGGCTGCTTCAAGCGGAGGGACACAGGCCAACAGGACGAATTACAGCCATGACTTTGAGGGGGGGGGGGGGGGTAGAATGGCAGGATGTTCAGCTGAGTGTCCTGTGCAGACAGACTCTTGTCCTGGGTGATGTTTGGACCGCAGGGGGAGACACAGGTCGGGCTTAATGTTCTCTCTTGAGTGTTGATGATGACAGTCCTACCTTTAGTACATATGTGCTGACCCAGGAGACATTTGTCCCTCACTTCCACAGAGACTTCAGTCTTCACGGGTGAAGACATCTTTTCAGGAACTGTAGGCCTCTGTTCGTCCCACGATGGGACACAATTTGCCTCCCCCATGTCCCCAGCAGGGGGAACTTGTTTCCATTTTATGATTTTAGTTTAAAAGGGGTTTGCGAACAATGTCCACATCTTCAAAAACTTTTGTTGTTTAAGAAAAGTGTCAAAACAGGTTTTTTTTATTTATTATTTTGTAAAATGTGTGAGGAGCTTAGAGGAATTGATTATCATTAACAATTGTATTGCTTTTCAAATGATCACTCGGTTTTATTGAAATAAAATGTTATAAAAATGCAGTTTTGCTGAGCATAAAACTCTTTTACAATTGTCCTCTCTTTTAAACTCACTCACACACTTACTAGATCAAAAAGACACTTTTAGAGTTGACTCTTGTTTAGGGATCAACTATCTGACAAGGTGCATAGGTTGAAATGTGCAGCATGTGTTACACTGTAACATGTCATGTCATGAATGCCTAGATGTCCCAAAGATGAAATTACAGTTTTGTGAGTGTTGATTTCCCTATATTGACATAGGCCTACATTTATTTGAATATATTAAGATGATACAGCCAATTATAGTTATTTAAAATCAGGTATCAGAACAGTACACACTAAAGACAAATATGCCTCTTTTAAACTCACTCACACACTTACTAGATTTAATCAAACAAACACTTTTAGAGTCTAATATTGTTTTGTGTGTATGTCAATGTAGGATTTAAGGAATTAATCCTACATTGACATACACTTGTTGTTTGAATATAATGATCCAGGTAATTACAGTTATTTAAAATGATCAGGCATCAGAATATTACACCCTAAAGATCATGTTCAAAATAATGCTTCAAATGAGCAAAAAATCCTAACTTTTCTAACACGATATACACGTTTCGAGTGCAGCTTACCTGACAGGTGGTGGTGCTCTGGGAGCAGCTGGGCTCGGTCCTCGAGTAGTTGTGGTCGCAGAGATGAGACATCTGTAATGATTAACATATGTTTTGGGAATGGACTTAATTAAACACATCATATTTTAACTTTGATATGTGATCATTCCTTTAACCTGGTGATAATAAGCTCACTGATTATGCTTAAACCAGCTATTTTCTACTCAGTAGGCTATAGCCTACATGTCAGTTTCTTTAATTGTTTGTAATGTCGATATTGAAAACGGACTACACAATCAAGAAAGATGTGAGGATGAACCTCTATGGTGTCTTTAAAACAATAATTTGGTGTTTAGTGTAACATATTTACAAAAGGTAACTGCCTATGTTGCAATATATGCTAACTGATATTTTCAAGAGCTAAAACAAGCTAGCAGTGTAGCTAAGTGTTTGAAAAGCAGCTATCTTTACAGAATGTATAGTTTTGTCCTCATATTTAAATTATTTACAGCAACAACTTAAAGGGAATTAAATGTATTTAGTATGTTCTACTTTAAGACTGAACCAGCTCCTTCACATGAGTCAGTTCATTGAGCTGTGGAGGTTTGACTGCTCAAATCGTCGAATAAAGCGGCTCGGAAAAGTTATTTAATCACATAAAAATAGTTATATCCTCACATTTGCCTCGATAACTTTTTAGTAAAGTTTTACTATGTTAATTTGGGGTCGTCTTTTCAGTGATAGCTTGAAAGAGAGCAGTTTTGTGGAACTCGTCGAGTAACAGCCTTCTCCTCCAAAGTCTCAGAGTGAAATGGTGAATTTGGAATCGAGCTTTTAAATCTATACTGTACGTAGCTCCATAGCAACCTGCGTCATGCGTCAACGTAACGTGACTGATTAGAAACTTTAAGTATCGATATCTTATTTACATTTCCATGTATTTATTACAATTAAAATATTTTGTTTTTCCTGCTCGTTTTGAAACACTAATTTGTTGTACAAACACAATGTATGCACCTGTTTTTGGATTGTCATGCTTTAGAAACTTCGAGGATATTCCGTCGGTAAAATGTTGATTAATTATGTCAATAGTTTCAACACATAACAGAGAGGACGTAAACATCACATATATTTAGCATTAAAACGTAGTTCACTTGCTGAGTATGTTGCGTGGTGTAGCAATTTTGGCAATTTATTTCTAATGAAGATAGGCCTAGGCTACGTGTCTGAGATAAAGCAGTCCCCGTCCCCTGGTCATAACCAGTTTTTAAAAAACATTTAAACGGTGTGTTACATGACTGTTAGCCATACTTAATGCCACCAACGTAGCCTACCTGAAATGACAGCAGGTGAAATTGGGTCAAAGGACGTCAAACTGAGGAGAGAGGATGAAGAGACTGCAACGAGGAGGAGATACGGAAAGAGTTAAGTTTGATTACGTTTTAAAATGGTATCTCTTTTTCATTTATTACGGACACAACGTCTGTGTTGCCTTAAATGACGGGGTTTAAATTTCATTCTGGACTTTAGAAACATAAATATTTCACCATCATTGATAAACTGTTCTGGAAGAATATTAGGATCAGACTTTTCCGTATTATTTTTGAATAGTTTCTCGGTGGGTGCTGCTTGCAAAACAATAAGTAACTTTGATATCAAAATGAATAATAACAGAAGATATCGTTGATACCTTCGTTCTATTCTGGGTCATTGAGGATGTAATGATTTCACTTGACCCCTAGATGGAAGTGTTTAGCCGAGTATGATTGATTATGCTGTGTAGCCTACATGTTTATTATAGAGAAAGTTGTAGGTTCCAAATCATTGAGTCAGCCTACATGTATAGGCTATCTATCAAACTATACAAAAACTATATTAAGTTGTGTTAATTGTTATACAGATGGCAATGTGTATGGTCTATGGTTAGTCTGTGATCCATACAGTATTCGACTTTTGAAGTGAAGACAGGTAAAAAACATAGCTCAATAAGATGTATTCAATGTGTAAAGCATAAAGTGCACTCTTTTCTGAGAGCTCTGCTCCAGAGGTAAATGTGAATGTATTACCTGCCTCTGCTGTTTCTTTGTTTGTATAAGGCATTTGATTATTTTTCCTCAGTTCCTCTGGGAACCCCATTCGACTGGTCTCCCAGAGGAACTGAGTAAAAATAACAAGAATGCATTTTATCTAATTCAGGCTCCATTTTCTAGCATTTTTAAGTAAAAATAAAAACTCATATTTCCCCTGTGGCATATCGAAATAAGAAGTTGATTTGCATTGAAAAAAAACAATCATACCTAACTAGCTTAGGCCTACAGGTCTCTGTTTCTGTACCCTGAAGAAAAACAAGATTTAAATACCTAAACACACTGCTTTTAATGGCTTGTTAAAATAACTACTTTTGCAGTAAAGCCCCTGTGGCCAGTTTCACTGCGCAGACCAATTTAATGTTGCCTCAGTTAACAGTCCGTCCGTCTGATCGTCTGTGTGTACTTCCCATCATGTTGAGAGGGCTTTCTCCTGACAGCCTGCTCTCATAAAGAAGGGCCTGTCTGGGCTTTGAGGAGCTGTAATAGACCTAGATGACAGATGGATGGATGGATGAGGTATGGAAAGAGGGAGCTGTAGATTAGATGTAGGCCTACACAGCAGACCTTTTTTCTCTTCTAAGACGTGCTGTATTTTGGTCAGTCATGAGTGAACAGAACACAAATGGTAAAGTCAGCCAGGAGTACTTAGACTGTGAGAGACGTGAGCAGTTAGCGTCTGAGAGAGGCAGACGGAATAGCAGGAGCAGGATTGGAAGAATAGGGGAAAACCATGACGTTTATTGAAGGCAGTACAAATACTGTAATTTTCACCTGTTCTGAAATTGTCCCTAAAGAGAAATGAACACATATGATTGAAAAGCTGGACATCTTGTGGATCCAATGAGTCCATTTGTATTCATGTGTGATGATGTTAGTCCGCAGAGTAGCCATTTGTTGGCGTGACAACATGTTTTGAATCTTGACCTTGTTGTTTACAATGAGCTGTCGTGACCTTTAGAATAATCACAGCCTCATAAAACTATAGAAGCACAAACTAAAGGGCCTTTAGAGGATGTAAAGCTTACCTAGATCTATTGTCAATAAGAGGGTTTCTTAGCACGTGTTCTTCTATTCCTGGAAATTCCACGATTTGAAAAGTTTAGAACGATGCACTATTTTGTGCTCCAGTCAATCCTCAAATTAGAGGGTGTTGAACATGTTGTCTTCAGTGAATGCAATGTTTTTTTAAATGTCTGTTTCTGTGTTTCTTGTTATTTGTTCTTGTTTTTGCAAAAGGAGCTGCAGTGATACATGAAAAATGTCAGACAATAAAGCATTATCGTATCGAGAATGCCCTGTCCCCTTTCCCTCTAAAAAAAGAAGATAAATGGTTAATGTGCTGACTGTAACACCATTTTGCTTATTCCCCCAATTTGAATTGATTTAAAAGTGTTTGGGAGAACTCTTGTGATGCATTTTGCGCTGTGGTTGTCAGCGTACAGCATCAGCTTAAATGATTAGATTTTGGTTTTGGAGTCTTGATGAAGATGTTGGGGTGCTACAGTGGATTGGCTCTCAGGTTGTCTCTCTCACATTCGCACACAAACACAGAGCCATAATCTTTCCCCATGCTGATCAATAAATCTAATAAGAACTTCATGCTGCCAGCCGGCAGTGACTAATGGCTGACTCCAGAGGGTGGAGAGAGCTGTCTGTGTTGGAGGGAGACAGAGAGAGCAAGGGTGACTAACCATGGGTATGTGTGTGTGTGTGTGTGTGTGTGTGTGTGTGTGTGTGTGTGTGTGTGTGTGTGTGTGTGTGTGTGTGTGTGTGTGTGGTGTTCTGGGGGATGGTGGTACCTGTGGTCGGCACAAATAGAGACATTTGAACAGAAATCAGGCAGCGACTGAGTCACCATTTATTCACAGTATTTTACTGTACGAAACAATAATGGTGGTCTCGTCAGTCCCGTCCCACAAAAAACTTAGATGTCTATATATAAGCTTCTGCAGTGACGTGCAGTGAGGTTCATGGCTGGTGAGGCACTGGCACTGACTCTTCAGGTTTACAAATATTATATTTTGACCTAAACCAAAATATAATATTATTTTCAAAAGCTTTTTTTGTCTGATGCTTCGATTAATTTTAAACAGACAGTTCAACAAAAGGATACCCAAAAAATGTAATTTTATCATTTAAATATTGAATTGTTCTCTCTTAGTAAGATCCCATTTTCAATAAAATGGCGGTCTTACCTTGACTTGAAGATGAAGTCCATTTTCCTATCCTTCTGGACAAACATTTCTATTACTTTTTTGTAAAAGTCCTCCTTATCTTCTTGTAGTTTCAAAAGTCTATCATAAATCTATGGATTAGATTTATGATAAAAAAATTATAAAAGTAGGGTAGACATGTGGATGTTATCCGGCTAATCAAAACGTGCATTTATCTAACAGGTACGTTTCCCACAGATCTTATTTCGAGCTATTTTCTAAAATCCTCTGGAGAAATCTCATTGCTTTTTTGTGCTTACTTCCTGGTTTTAGGACGCGCCACTGCAGCTCTCTCGTCTCCTCTTCAAGCACCACACTTTTCACGGCACACATACTTACAGCCAATCAGCTCTGAATGATTTGAGATGACGTATGGTGGGGATGGTAGCTCCGTGCCCCTCTGGTCATTATTTTTTTGCCACACACATTACATTACAAAATACTCTGAGCATGCGCAGTGTAGTTTTTACAGTCACCGTTCACTTCACAGCGAGAGGAAGGGGCATAATCAGGTTTTGTCCCACATGGCTCTAAACAGCTCAATAGGCACACACTGTGACTGTAGACACACTAATTAGAAGAACACAGACTAAAACAGCAATGTACAGACGAATCAGATGATTAAACATGATCTTAAAATATATTTTATATATTTTTTTTTTTTTTTTTTGCATTTTTGTAATCATTATTTGTAATACTTTCTGCTGACACTAGGTGGGGCTGTGCCCCACCTGCCCCTAATGACCAGTCGCCACTGGGTGTGTGGCTCGTCAGCGCAGACTCTCGCATCGTTATTGTTGCACACTTTGCAAGAGGCTACTCTTGGGCTTCGCTTGACCCTCGTCTTAGCCATGGCTTGTATTTGTCTTCTGCTAGCCAACGCTCGTTGAAACGGCAACCTCCTGGCATACTGTCATCTATCACTCTCATCAGAATGCCCAGGTCACACACGTAACAAAAACACTTGCCGGTCACGCGCATTGCGCGGGAAGGCCGGAGCGGAGCTGTTTTATGTAAAAGCGAAGCAATTAAGCGCGCTCCGACTTCTTTATTTTCTTTTAATCTAAAAAGCGAGGTAAAGCATTTACAATTTCAAGCACTTTATCCCAAATTCAAGCACCATTCCCAAAATTCAAGCACTTTTCAAACCTTGAAAACACCTTGTACAATTTCAAGCATTTTCAAGGATTTCCAGCACCCGTACGCACCCTGTATATAGAGTCTTTATTCATTTGTTTTAAAGCTCAATAAATAACAAAGAAGACCTTTGACCGGCACTTTTCTAATTTTGTCCGGAAGATTTAAACTTTAACGGACATCTTGACCGGCGAAACAAACTAAAACTCTGCCGCACGGTCCCCTCGTTCCTTGGAAGAGGCGGAGAGGTGGGTGTTTGTCATCTGCTGGTGGACTAACCGGAGAGAATTACAGTGCTTGCCTCGACGGGGAGGGATTGCATTGCAGCGGGAGCAAACGCTTGCCTCGGGGAGGGAGAAAAAAAGCCACAGCGGAGAATAAACAGAAGGGTAACCATGGTAACTATGGGCGGGAAGTCTTCTTCGCTGCTTTTGTGGCAGACTACAGCGCCACTTACAGGCCTGGCATATGTACTACAGCGTCTCCAGCGCTTTCGAACGGCAATGGCCGTGGCTGTCTCCTCCTGATTGGTGGAGAGTTGGCCCAATAGCCGTAGCGCCACCGTCCTGACGTCAGGACAGTGTTCAAATCTGGATCAGTTTTGATCAGATCCGTTGCAGCCCCTTTTTTAGAGATTTGGGTATGGAGGAAAATAGAGAGGGTTGTGTTTTCTGACACTTGGTGAGTTCCCTGGAACACCGGGGACACATATTCATGTATAAAAGACGTACAAAAGTGCATTTTGCATGATAGGTCCCCTTTAAGTAAAAGTACCAGAGTACTCTGTTACAAGTAAATGTCCTGCATTCAAAAGGTTACTCAAGTTAAAGCACAAAAGTATTAGCATCAAAATATAAAGTATATGTAATTATTGATCCATTAAGTGTTATCAAAGCCGGTAAAGAAGCAGTTCATTTGAATGATGTTCACACGGCGGCTCATACTTTCGTGTGAATCCCCTGTGGTTTCTCCTCTTGTATTTCTGTGTACAAATAGAAATAAATAAGTTACATTTATTTGTTATTGGCCATGGTATGTTATTGGCTATGTTTACATCATTCTTTGATTATTAAAATGTACACAGATCTTTTTTCATGG